ATATGTATGTACGTATATATATATCTATCTATTTATATGTATATATATATATAAATATATATATATAGATATATATATGTATGTACGTATATATATATCTATCTATTTATATGTATATATATATATAATATATATATATATACATACATATATATATAAATATAAATATATATATAATTATATATAAATAAATAAATAAATACATGAATATCGAATAAATAAATATATATATATATATATATATATAGATATAAAGGTATGTGATTCTACATTAGGGTTGTGTGTTTGCGTGTGTGTGTGTGTTTGTGAGTGTTCATCTGTATATCCAAGGTCGTTTCGTTGTCCATTTTCTGACTGAGCATGATCGTAAACCGCACCTATTCACAGTTTGAACGGGTCTTTCTGGTTGGTATAAAACAACGGAACCAGCAATTAGTGTACTATAAGCACACACACACCTCTTCGTCAGCATCTTGATCAAGTTTTGATACAATTGCCTATCCTTCCCAAAGCCGCCCCCCCCTCCTCCTGCACGTTTGCCCCCAGATTTAGGTCCGTATTGTCCCTTAGCTTCGGACTTCTTGCCAATGAGTGCCTTCATGGCCTCAGTGGCGTTTTTGTGACCAAGGGTGAGGAATTTCTTATTCCGGTCCATTATTTTGTGCAAGGACACATCGATCTCCGGTTCTTTTCTGGGTGCGGGTGTGCCTGAGTCCAAAGGTTATAGATGTTCAACACTTGTGGGGCTTTACGGAGTATAGGAATATTTTGATGCTTGGGAGGAAAGTCATTCGGAATTCTATACACCCATGTATACAGCCGTACTGGTTGCTAGGTATACTATAAAATGTACTTGCACTCGATTGGTAGTATTGTATGTCAGGACACTCTCACCTCTATATGAAAATAAATATTCACACCCCTATAGAAAATATATATACATATTCGTCGTTTCCATATACTCCGTATTCAATACAGCTCCCGTATGTGTGTGATCAAAAGAAGATAAACATCCTACTCGTCACAGTGTATGTATCTATACATTATCGTACGCGTAAGCTTACATACCAGATAAACATCCTAAACATCCTACTCGTCACAGTATATGTACAACCGACAAACGGAACACTCTTTGTGCTGAAAAACTATGCAACCGACAAACGGAACACTCTTTGTGCTGAAAGACTATACAACCAACAAACGGAACACTCTTTGTGCTGAAAAACTATACAACCGACAAACGGAACACTCTTTGTGCTGAAAAACTATACAACCGACAATCGGAACACTCTTTGTGCTGAAAAACTATACAACCAACAAACGGAACACTCTTTGTGCTGAAGAACTATACAACCGACAAACGGAACACTCTTTGCGCTGAAAAACTATACAACCAACAAACGGAACAAGGTATGCATCGCACCACACACAGCGCACGGACCAGTCCACACCACACCCGCGGGGGCAGGCGCAGGGCACAGAGGACGAGGACACTCTTTGTGCTGAAAAACTATGCAACCGACAAACGGAACACTCTTTGTGCTGAAAAACTATACAACCGACAAATGGAACACTCTTTACACTTAAGGCGGTGGTCTGATGCGCACGAACGTTTAAGGACAATCGACACAGCATGAGCTGTCATCCAACAAGAATACTACCAACACATATCGGTGCATATCAGCACGCACTAACGTAGGTAAGACTAACGTGGGTAGGATTACCTGGCGGCGGGGGCCCAGTGTATAGGTAGTGCTCCAGTGGCACAGGCCTTTGGAGTGTGCTGATAACGTACACGTGTTTCTTTTTGGTGCGACCAATCCACTCGGCGAATTCCATTGTGTTTGGTACCTGCACTCGACACATAGAGGGTGTATTTCAGCACATAACCACACACTGCATATGGGATCAGACATGTGTATACACATGTACATACAGGCACATTAATTTCCTATTTACACTGCATATGGGATCAGACATGTGTATACACATATACATGCAGGCAAAATAAGTTTCTATTTACACTGCATGCGGGATCAGACATGTGTATACATATATAGATACAGACACATCAAGTCCCGATTTGAATAATAGCTATTAAGTGCCTATTCGGGTTAAACATAATATAGTCCCTTGGTGTTCATAAGCTAATTAAGAACACACACCCATACATATCTCAAAACAAACACTATATAAACTCTGTTTAAGAACACACCCATACATATCTCAAAACAACATTAAATAAATCTGTTTAAGAACACACACCCTTACATATCTTAAAACAACACAATATAAACTCTGTTTAAGAACACACA